AAAGTGTACATGATGACCCAAAATCATGTATGGCTTCTCCTGAGGTCACTCATCTATGGTACTCTGGAGATACACATAAACATCTAAAGCTTCAGTGCCTGTCACAAGAGATGTGAGTAAACAGGGGAACCTGCACTGCCATAAGAAGAGAGTGTCTGTAACACACCTGAAGGGCAGGGGTTACCTCTACTTGTTTGGGAGATGGGGTCCTGGTGCAGAGCTAGATATTTTTCAAATCAGGTATACAAAATGGCATAGAAATTGGTGAGTGTTTGGCTGCTGTATATCTGGTATGGATCCTGCATCTGTAATTCAGTCACTGCCAGTTAATTAAGTGCCATTAATATATGATTGCCAGTTAATTATGTGTCACTAATAAATCAATAAAACACTTCAATCCTGATTTTAAGCTACACAAACTGAGCAGTTTTTCCCCTTGCAACAAGTCATTCACGCTTTAGACTCTGAAGTCAAAGGAAAGGGGGGGAGAAACTTAAATATACCCAAGAAAATTAATGAAGAACTGGGTTTTGTAGGTTGTCAGGTTTTTAATTTTCCCTGGTAGTGCAGATCAGAATGCTACGCTACGTACTGAGCAAACCTACATGCAAAAAGCATGAAATTAAACATAATTTCTGGAAGAAGTTTCTTCCATCTTTGGACCTGGAGTGCCAGACAGGAAAACCTATTCTCAGAACAAATTCGGAGAAATTTACCAATTGAAGAGACAGCATTAATTAGATTTTGAGGGACCTTTGTAGCTTCTGCAATTTCATGAGCTACCAGCTTGACCATTCTACTTTTCTACTCTAATATTTTGCACATCAGATAATTGCTTTCAGCTGTGAAGGGGGGGAAAAAAACCCCACCTCTTAGCTTTGTATGATTCAATTTGTTCCTTTCTGTACCTGCAGAACAGTTTCTTCATCAGAGAATAAAAGAACAAAGCTAACATCTGAAGAGTGGTATTTTGGTCAGACTCTTGATCTCCACCCTAGAAAGGGCATCTAATGTAAATGTACTTACAGCATTTCTAAAAGAGAACTGAAAACTTGTTCTCTAAGGAGTTGGGGGTGGAGGAAACTTCTATCTGTCTTGACTCTTAAAAGCACCTTTTTTTTTTTTATTTCTCCATTTTAAACATCTCTACAATGTTTTGAAAATAGAAAAAACAGAGAAATACAGAGAAAAATAGAGAAAATAGAGAAAAATAAAGAAAATAATAGAGAAAATAGATAAATAGGCCACAACCAAAACTGTTCTTTCTAAAATCCCTCCTGTTCTATTACAATTAATTTGCCATTTTATTCTGTCTTCAGCATGCTGAATAGGCACACACCTTGATTTTCAAGTAGACAGCCAAAAAAATCTGCAAAAGACTGTTGGCAAGTTCTTCAGAAATGGATACATTTTTAAAGGGCCCTGTGCTAAAGAGAGTAAGAATTTGTCAAAGTTTTTGCTAAGCTGTTGCTAAATTCAGAAGAATCTCTTCAAAGCTGGAGTTTACAGACATGTGATGCAACACAAAAAGGCAGGTGCTAATCTGGATCTGCTGTGTTTTATATCTCAGACTTAATAATAAACCACCATGGGAAACAACATGGGGGAGAAAAAGCTTTGGTCTGCTTTTACCAGAAGTTTTGATAAGTAATTATCACCCTTCATTCTCCAGATTTTAGAATGACAGGAGATGCACAAAGACCAATCAAGCAATCTGGCTCACAATGAAGCAATGGAGAATTTCTCCTTTCTGAGCTTTGGATGCTGTGATTCAGCAGCACGTCTATGTGCAAGAGATTTCCTTGTCAGAGCTAATTTTTAAAATATCCTCAAGTTTGCTGAAATCTGTATCATGCTGGAAGTTATTACTTCCAAAGGAAACACATCTAGAAGAAATGTCAAAATTGCCAGCGGGGTGTGATGGGGTGTGGGTGGATGCCCTGAAAATGCAGGGTATCCAACAGCACAATGTGCAGCCAATTAAAATGGAAATCACTTCTTCCAGTCTTCTAAACCCCAAAAAACTCCTCAATTGCAAGGGTAGTTAAAAGTGCAAAAAATTAGTCATTAAGAAGAAAAAGCTTAAAACATATTTCTATTTTCTCACTAACACCAGCATAAAACCACTAAAAAAACCCAACACATGCTATCAGATCTAAGCATTACCTTTTACTGGTCTTGAATAAATACATTTTTATTGGTATAGAAAAAAAACTTTTGGCAGTCATCATCCAATGGAAAGATGTATCATGTTCTTGATAGCCTCTGATAGCTTATTTCTGAAGCACGTGAACACATTTTCCAAAGTTCATGGAAATTCTTCCAGAAAAGTTATTCCCCAATTTTTTTGCAGCACTCGGAGAAGACACAAAATTTAACCTGCCCAATTACACTTTCATAGCAAATGTGTTATCTTAGGAAGTCCTTTTTTCTACTCCATCATACTATATTGGCCTGAAGATACATGGGCTACATGTATCTAACACACTTTCTCACAAGGAGGCTTTTAACACCACCTCACAGGCAAACTGATGCAGTCCAGGCTAGGAAAGGGGACAGGGAGGTGGACTGAAAACTGGCTCAGCTGCTGGGCTCACAATTGCAATGAGCAGTACAAAGTCCACCTGGAGGCCAGTAACTAGCGATCAATCCCAGGGCTTGGCACTGGGGCTGATACTGTTTAACATCTTCATTAATGACCTGGACAACAGGGCAGACTGCCCCCTCGGCAAGTCTGCACACAGTACAGAACTGAGAGAGTGGCTGATACAGCAGATGGGTCCGCCGCCACTCAGAGGCACCCTGACAATAAATTCATAAAGTTCAGCAAAGGGAAGTGCCAAATCCAGTGCTTGGGGTGGAATAAATCCATGCCCTGGGTCAGGCCTGGGCTAACCACATCAAAAGCAGCTTGGCAGAGATGGACAAGGGGGTCTTGGTGGTCACCATGTTGTCTATCAGCCAGCCATCTGCCCTTTGTGCAAAGACCAACAGCACCTAGGGCTGCATTAAAGGACAGCATCACTAGTCAGTTGAGGGAGATTCTCCATTCCTCCTATTAAGCAGTGGTGAGATCACACCTGCGCTCCCTGGTCCAGTTCTGGGCTCCCCAGCACAAGACAGACATGGATGTAATGGAGAAAGTCCAGTGAAGCACTGCAAAGATGATAATGAGAACGAAGCATCTGTCATACAAACATCTATCTGAAAATGCTGGGTCTGTTTACTCTCAAGAGGAAAAAGCTCCACAGCGATCATAACAACATGTATAAATACCTGATGAGGGAGAGTAAAGAAGATGTGGCCAGACTCTGACCTTCTCAGTCACTCAGTAGTGACTAGCGAAATGATGAAAAGCAATGCACACAAACTGAAACACAAGACGTTCTGTTTAAACATCAGAAAAAGCTTTTTTACTGGCTAGGGTGGTCAAGCACTGGGCTCAATGGCCCAAAGAGGTTACAGTCTTCATCCATGCAGGTATTTAAAATTGGACTGGACACAGTCCAGACCAACCTGATCTGGCTGACCTGCCACTGGATGGGGGCAGGCTGGACTGAATGATCTCCAGAGGCACCTTTTAGTCTCAACTCTTCAGTGATTTGGTGGTTCTGTGAAATTCTCAGCCAACTGTACCAAGAATTCATCATCACTGAAATGGGTGCTTTATGAAAACATTCAAACCATTCTTTATTAGTCCCTTTTCTATAAGTAGGATTTTCTTGCCAGCATACCCACCATTAAATTTCTGGCAGCTGCTTTTGCTTAGTACTTCAGTACTGAGATGTCCCTGCCTTCAGCCTCTTGCCAACCCCCCTAGGGGCTGCTCTCAGAAGGCCATAATCAGAGCTGACTGCCTGAACAGTAACATTCAAGACAAGCAAAAGCCATTCAACCATGAAATGTTATATCCTCTCAGCAGGGAAAGCGGGTAGGAAGGGATGAATCATGACAATCTTATCAGCAATTCCCTATCCTGACATGTACTCTCAGAGCAAAGTCAAGCCAATCTGCAGTCCAAGACTAACAGGATTAGAAGCACAGTACAAACTAACCTAAGCTTGACCACAGTTTTAACATCCTCACCCATGAGGATGTTACTTCCTCAAAAGTAAAGCCAATGCAGATCTCACCTTGAAAAACAGATCAGAAAGCCTCTCCTCCTAAACTAGAAACAACCTGATTCCCAACTTAACAAATGCCCCCCTTAAGACGGTCTGCTACACTAAGTTTCCAACATCATTAGAGGTGGAAAGAACCTCTCCAGCTTCAATGCTAAGGAAAGTTTTTGTGGAATTGCAACCTTATTTGCAATGCAGAGAACTATGTTATTGAAATTAGTAAGGCTCCTCAGGAAAGCAGATACCATTTGATATAATAAGAATGGCAATTAGTTCTGATTCTCATAAGAGACATTAATTTGTCACAGAACTTTCCTTCAGTCTTAAACTGTATGTACACCTATTGTGATGCTACCAAAGGTTTTGTAAGCCTCAAGAATCCAGGACAAAAAGCCATCTGTCTTTTATTGGTATTAATCAATTCAGCTGAAATTTTTAAATTTGTTACCACCAGAACAGTACTTAGTAGTAGTCTGTTAGTACCCACTAACAGACCAAAATCACCCCTGGTATAGACATCTGATATTTTTAATACCTCCACAAATCTATATTGAGCATAAGTTACCAAGGCATGCATCTTTCTCTGATTCTGAAAACAAAACATTAATAATGCAGTTAGAAACTAAACCCTTCTGAGAACTCACTAAACTCTTCCTTTCTGAGATTTAACTGGCATTTTACTCACAATGGACAACACTTCTTTCAAAATTCTTCCCCCTCCCACCCCTGTAGCAGGGAGAGTATTCAGCTTACCTGAAAATAGAAGAAAGCTTGGCCAAACCAGTAGTGCATGATAGTAATCTGTGCTGCATCAAATTTCAAAGGTCTCCAGATGTATTTTGTCATCATTGTCTGAATCAGCAGACAAAACACCAAGACTGGTAAATTGTGAGGTCTAAATAGAAGGGCTGCTAGGAGAACCAATCCACTATACACTTCCCATAATCCAGTACTCTTCACACTGGAGTCTGCAGAAATAACCTGTGACTTTAGTAAATCTTTAGTGCCAGTGAAGACTATGCCAAGAACAAAGACATAAACAAAACGAGCTTCAGTAATCCCCCTAAAGAGGAAATTAAAAAAAAAAAAAGGTAATCTTAATTAATAAATAAATAAATAAAACAAAAAGATGAGCTACTTACCAATAACTATTTCACAGGTCAAAAAGTCTTTCAAGAGAGGTGCAAGCCAATGCAGTTTTGCCAAACAGGTTAATTTCTAAGGCTAGTACCAGCCAATTTCATGAGACAGCTTTCTCAAATACAAAAACTCTAAAAATGGTTCATACGTAAATTGCAACATCTCCAAATCAACTTCAGCAAACAGCTTATGCTAAAAACTAAACTAACGTAAAATATAAAAATAAAATTATATGTCAATTAATGTAACCAAAATAAATTTATGTTATCACTATTCAAGGTCTAAACCTAAACGACTCTATGATTCTATGATTCTAAGGTCTAGAGCCATAAATATAGTCATATAAATATGCCATTTATATAGCATAATGAATTTCCCCCAAAATACTCCTTAGAGTGATATGGAAACTTTATTTCAGGAATTATATTGACTTAAAAATGACTATTCCATTTAAGCTGTTCAGTGATTTTTCACAACTCATTCACACATTCACGTCTATTTCTTTTTAGCCAACCAAAAAGACAGTATTTGGAGATCCTTATTTCAATCTGAAATCTCTGCATACTTCAGACATTTTCTCACTTACACAGCTGCACAGATATGCAGATATACTGGTTTACACCAGCACATTCTTCCCTTGTAACTGCACACATTTTTCAAATCCCTAAGCAATCCCATTACAAAAAAATGAATGTTTAAGTAGTAAGTGTAATTAGCATCTACTGCTATGTTCATTATACCTATAAATTCACTGGCCTCTGCATTTCCAGTTAAAATCAGCTTCTGAAGGAAGCACAGCATGTTGTCCAAAAAGCTGACAAGGACAAGGACCAGTAATCTTAAAAACTGTGACCTGCTATTCTAGAAGTGCAAGGCCCAAGGAACAAAGAAAGTGAAAGCAGATATCTGTCAGAATGCACTGATATTCTTATGTTTACTGGGCAAAAAAGGTCACAGATCACGTTAGTGTGAGCTAAGCTATAGTAATAACCCAATGAACTCTCCAAATACACATTCTAAAAATCTTGAGGTTATAAATCTATTTTTTTATCTTGCAAAAGATAAAAATACACATTATCTACACACTTTATCCATAATTTAATATACACTAGCCTTAGGGATTACCAGTCACTTTATATATGAGTGGTGAATGAACATGGTCTCCTACAAAGTTAATATAACTCACTCAGAATTGAGGACTCTTGAGTCATCTGGACTTAATAATACAGGGAGGATTAAACTGTGACACTAAAAATAGTAAAAGCACAGTTACACTTGGTGTAACTAGTGTAACTAGCTGACCACAGAAAACACCACTAGTCAAAATTTTGAAAAATAAATTTCTCCTTTTAAATTTATATATTTTTTCAGTCTTTGGAAGGTCACCTTCCTTCTCAAACAATTACTAACAAATGAGCTTGAATTCAATCTTTCCTTTTCACATACAGGAAAGAGAACCAAAAAGCAAGTGGAGAAATAATAAGCAACAGTATTTACATGTTAAGTTTTCTTCTTGCACTCACAGAACCAAGAAAATAGGCAAAACCACCACATGATAGTGATGTGGCCTTCCTAAACATGAATACAGTGCTCTGTTCTGTGGTTTAGCTTTCAAAGGTTCAAGCTCATACCTAATGGTCTATGCAAAGAGGCATTACTATTTTGTTCCCTTAAATAGCAAGCCTTTGTAAATCCCCTGTAAGGCCCATTGGGTTTTCCCTTGGGAGGCAGGGGAGCGCGGAAAGGTTTAGAGTGTTCCTGTGGTTCTGGCTAATGCAGAAATTCCATGCCCTGTTTCAGTATCTCTGGTAACTCTGATGTAAGTATTACCATAAAATATTCAAATATATTCATGCGACTCAGAAGTAAAACTTTAGGAAATAGCTTTGGGTATTTGTTACTATTAAATGAGTTAAGTTAAAACTGAAATTAACTGGTTGATGGAAATTCAAACTAAAACAAAAATTCTCATCAAATGCACTACTATTGTTTTGTTTGTGTCAGTATGATTATACTCATCTTTTTCATTGCACAAACTATCATTTTTAAAAAGAACTCCGAGGAAAAGGGAAGGCCAAATTACTTCCTTGCATTTTTTAATTTAGAGGTTATCTTAGTGTAAGCCATAGAAGATGGGACACACTTCAATTGCCTCTTGTCCCTTACCCACCTCCCAGCAGTTGTCACATTTGGAGAAAACACATCTTCAGTAAAGGGTACAGAGAGGGGGCATTTCAGAGCAAAGATTCTCCATCTTACAGAAAAAAGCATTATACATGAAAAACACAGTGGCTGCCTACAACTTTTTCTCATATTACACAAAACTACCTCTACTTTGCACCTGCATCTGGAGCTACTCCATGTCATGAATACACTAAAGATACCTCTAGATGCATTTAAAAGAAAGTCCTGGGTTTGTTCCTGGTGGCATTTTAAGTAGGCTTTTACAATTTATCACATCAGCCATCTAATAAGGATGAGCTATGATCACTATGTCAACACATCAGCTAACATGTGAAATCTACTAACATGTGTCTACCATCTTTACCTCTACCTTGCACCTGCATCTGGAGCTACTCCATGTCATGACATGGAGTACATGGAGCACTAAAGATACCTCTAGATGCATTTAAAAGAAAGTCCTGGGTTTGTTCCTGGTGGCATTTTAAGTAGGCTTTTACAATTTATCACATCAGCCATCTAATAAGGATGAGCTATGATCACTATGTCAACACATCAGCTAACATGTGAAATCTACTAACATGTGTCTACCATCTTTTTTGACATGCTGTATTGGGAGCCTTGCCGAAGACAATGTGTTTGAGGAGTTAGTGATGTTGGGCAAACCATGTCTGTTCTGTTAGGCCTTGTACTTTAGGCTTGAGAAGCCCACATGTTAGCATGGGTAACTGCTGCAAGGGACCATGCTGGAAGCCCTGTGCTGGCCTGTGTCATGTGCTGCTGGATGTTATGACGGACGTAACTTCTGACCTGGCAGGAGCAGACACATGGGTTTGTTTTGGTTTGTCTGGGTTTTTTTTGGTTTGGTTTGGTTTTTTTACACAAAATAGAACACACCATGGTATGGGAGGGAGGCAGAACCTCTCCACTGATGGGACCCGTGTGCCACAGCGTGCCATGGGAAGATTCATCTGGGGTTTGTCTGATGCTGCATGAAAGCAGGGTTCCCAGCATCTGAAAGCATTCACTACCTATATTCCTCTTTTTACTCTATCTTATTAAAACAGCTATTTTGTTACACATCTATTGTTGGTCCTTTCTTACTGAGATCCAGAAAGAGCCCTGCACCACACTTCCCACCCCAGGTGTAGAACACATACTGACACAAAAGTCAGAACCTGCGTTTGCTAACCCTATCAGCTTTCACCAAACAGCCTACACAGAGGATCTAAAGGGTATACAGCTTTGAAACATGACAGCAACTTTTAAACCAGTATATAATCAGAGATATATAAAGGTCTGACATAATTTAAGCAAATTACCATGTTCACTATTTATTTAAGGTGAAATAACACAAAAAGCCCATATCTTTCTTGTTAGAATTGCGATCAATATGCTGACTATAGAATGAACGAGTTCCCAGTAAATGCTTTGCTGTTAGTATTTAAGTACTCCACATATTTTGTTTGTGGCTCAATTGCTGTACTTAAGGTTCTGTGCCACACTGCAGTATTTTTCTTCTTACTGCAAGGACAGTATTCTTCTCCAAGGATTTTACTCAAACACAAAGCAAAGCTAGAGGTCACACTCCGGAATCAGGCATGTTTCAAACACAGAGCCAAATCCTGCAGACTAAGTAAAGATTACCATTACTTTCACATCCAGCAGAACTAGCACAAAATGTTAACTTAACACTAGTATGCATCTAGAATTAACTTCAATATTTGGAGAGATGCAAAGTATGTAAATATATCTAGATATACATACATAAAAAAATATTAGTTCAAAACCATGACTCGTTAGCAAATCTGATCTTCTTCAAATAAGATCTTCTCCTGCAGGGTTTTTTTTCATCTCCGCACATCTTGTGAATTTCTGGCCCCTGATTAAGAAGCTCCAACAGAAACTGTCCTGGTTTCGGCTGGGATAGAGTTAATTTTCTTCCTAGCAGCAGGCATAGTGCTGTGTTTTGGATTTAGTAGGAGAAGAATGTTGATAACATGCTGATGTTTTTAGTTGTTGCTGAGTACTGCTTATGCTAGTCAAGGACTTTTTCAGCTTCCCATGCTCTGCCAGGCGCACAAGAAACTGGGAGGGGGCACAGCCAGAATAGTTGATCCAAACTGACCAAAGGGCTATTCCATACCATATGACGTCATGCTCAGTATATAAACTGGGGGGAGGTTGGCCGGGGAGCAGCGATCGCTGCTCGGGAACTGTCTGGGTATCGGTCGGCGGGTGGTGAGCAATTGCATTGTGCATCACTTGCTTCGTGTATCATTATTATTATTATCATTATTATACTGTTACTATTAGCATTACTATTTTACTTTATTTCAATTATTAAACTGTTCTTATCTCAGCCCAGGAGTGTTTCTCACTCTTACTCCTCCAATCCTCTCCCCCATCCCATCGGGGTAGGGGGAGTGAGCGAGCGGCTGCGTGGTGCTTAGTTGCTGGCTGGGGGTAAACCACGACAGAAAACATGTGTATCCATATCAGATTCAAAACGAATGCGAGAGAAAGTTTATTACATCCAGAAGACAATTGTTTAGCAACTTCTCTTCCATGACCCTTTCCTCCTTATCAAATGTCATAACTGACTCTGGAAGTTTTCCGCAACTCTCTGACACTCAGAAAAACTTGAAGCTCCAGATCCAAGTACAATCCCACAGTAAAAATTATCTTAAGAAAACTAAAGCCACTTAGCTACATTCCGAAATCGCTATAGGTGAAAGAGCTAATAGCTTCCTTACAGGAACAGACTAGTTCTGTAAGAAACTTAACATCCACGTAAAAATCCTTAGTATGCATTGTGCAGCACAGCCTACACAGCAAGAAGGATTTGGTTACATCTTGAAAGGTCATACATTACAGAACACTCACCTGCAAAAGAAAGATACGAAAAAGCAACTCTCCCAATTACCGCCTAATCATTTTTCAAAACTAGGAAGTAGCTAAATGAGCTTGGCATATGCTCTGCTAAATGTGGCAAGTCCATCTAAAACAAGAGGAGATGGTGCATTTGGAGTTTCTTTGTAGCAAAAATACAGGGTATGACTATAAGATTTTCCTCATATTAATTCTTATCTGACTGGCTTCTGATCTGTCACAGTTGAAAGACACTTCATGGGGCTCAAAATTATACACACACCACAAAAACTCAGCGCTGGCCACCTACAAAATAGAGTTTTATTCATAAGAATGTGATTCCAGCCTAGACATAACGTCCCCTCCCACCCCATCCCCTGATATCCAAAGTTAACACCTCTCTAGGAATAGATTTACATATCTGTTGATTAACTTACTTCGAAATATCTTTGCCGTCATGTTGCCATGGAAATATGACATTTCCAATAGTTGCCCGGTAACTGTAGACTCCCAGGAGCCCGAGTGCCATAGCAATTTTTGAAACCAGGGAGCATCTTCTTTGAACCAGAAAGAAGATCATAAGTAGGGAGACTGCAGCCAAGAAGGAGAGTTCAGATTTATGTTCAGAGCTGGGGGAAAAAAAAAAAACCAAACAAACAAACCACAAACCTTCAAACCACTGTAACTGCTGCTAAACACATTTGACAGAGCCTTAGCTACAGCATTCTATTTCCAAATTAATCACTGCACTGACATCTGTTATGAACTTTCCAAGAGGTATGGTAAAATAGTTTAGTATTTTTAGAAAAGCAGTTTTATTAATGAGATTTTCTATTCAAACATACATGTTTAAAAATGTAATTACTGTGTTCCACAATATGCTAGTTATTCTGTTAATCATATAAAAACTGAGCTGCATATTGCATAATGGAAAAGTCTAATGCTTTTAAACTAGGGTTTTGTTATTTATACATTTTGAAACAGTGCATTTTGCTTATACTACAGCACTTAATTTTCTAGCATAAGGCAGAAAAGATTTTCGCACTATAGAATTAGAACTATTCTCCCTTTTAAAATAACTGTACATGTATGTGATTTGTTTAATTTTAGACATACAAAACACCACCTAGCCAAAATGACCTGAAATATACTTATATAGTTTAAAACACACACATGCAAACACATTAGCACAGTATGATTCCCTTATGCAACCACAGCACCTTGTACTGGATCAATACATACAAGAGATAAAGACACAAAATTTGCATCATGGCCAAGAAGATTACAGATATGGTTTGTTTCTTCCCCCATGTCCTAAATAAGTAACACTCATTCCAGAATCAAGGGCATTTCACTGAGCATGCTGCCAACGTTATGTATTTAAATCTACAGTGACAACAATTAGCACTGCAAAATGTAATGGGATAAGGTAAAGATCTGCACTCAACCCATACCATAGCTAGCTGTGCAATTTCAGAAAGCCCACTGTAATCCAAGAATTGCTAACCCTCACCTATGCAAATATTCCCAGTATCCCAAATTACCCTGAACCGCTAATTTTGTTAGGTTTACCTTCTGTCAAGAACATCATGTAGGGTGTGAGAGCCAAGGGCTCCATCTTCTGTCTTCCACACTTGAAAATGCCATGATGAAGGATCACTAAGTTCAGCAAACTGAAACAGTTTGAGCCTGGGCTGTTATCTGCATTAACTCTGATAGCACTTACGGAACTCCAGTTTTACCTTTGATTTAATCAAAATTATTGTACTTCAAACAGGTTTACTTTCCTATTTCCTAGTATATGCTTTACCAGGAGTTTGGCCAATAGCTGTTTCAGCTGTTGTGCTTGGAAAGTCACAGAGGAAAGGATATGGGGCAGAAAAATTGTCGTGTTAGTCCTCCCTGCAGGACCCAGTCAAGCACTTTATACACCTTCACAAGACCCCCAACAGATGCACTGCTCTCCACAGGCCAGTAGAGGTAAGTAAGAGGAGTAAGAACTAGAACACTATGGGAGAGAAAATGTAGTCTTGATGTTTCTCCTCATTATTTTTCTTCCTCTACAGGAGGAGACAGTAGAAGCAGTGAACGGATTGCTGCACCAACCTGTAAAGATAGTGCATGCACCATCTCTTATGATCAATACATAAAGAACTAATTTAGTAGCCACTGCATCTTTCAAATGAACCTTTGTGGAAAATTTTAAAAGCTTTCAGGCTGTATTCTCCTTGGCTGCTCATTGTATGACAGCGAGATAAATCAAGGACAAGTAACAGCACATCATCATCATCTTTGTCTTTGTCTCTTTATCTAAAAAAGTCAATGCACTTCTGTTAAGAGATGCTTGCAGGCTAATCTAACATACCAACACATAAAAATTAAAAAAACTTTCCTACCTGTAAGAAGTAATTGCTGGTAGTATATCAAGCAAGACACTCACTAACAGCTGCTATTTCCTACAGTGAACATTTGAAATCATACTCTAAATCCCCCCAAAAGAAAAAAATTCTCAGAGAAGGCCCAGTAGACAGCAAGGGTATGTTCAAAGACATGTGCACATCAGTCACCAATGGTGCATTCTTGACTGCTAGCACAGGTGTGTATATCCAACTCATGTCCAGGTTTTCTGATAACAGTCCTGTGTGATTTCTGTTTCGGATTTTTTTGAACCATGTACATTTATTGAAAAAAAACCTGCTCCGGTGTTTCATGGAGTTTGCTGAAGCAATAATAAAAGGATTTATAGCAAGTGAAGACAGGTCAGCATAAATCACATACAGTTTCAAGGTTTTCCAGCCACGGTTCTTACAGTTAGGCAGCTAAGTGCATATTAAATTAGCACGTATTTTGAAAGGGGATTGTAGCTGCTCAACACAGGAGTCCAGCCATTTAGCAAAGTTCTAAATTATTTTTATATTCTACTCAGAAATACAAGCACGAACATGCTACTCTGATCTCAGCTGAAATGTAGTGGGGCTTGCCCAAACCACAAAACTGAAAGTGAAGAACCAATAGTTTCCTGAGAGAGAACCTGGGGAGGGGAGAAAGGAAAAAGAGAGCTTTGGCTATTTGTTCTTACTGTAACAGCTCGTGGTCTACACTTTCATACTTCTGGTAGCTGAATGAAGATTGAATACATTTACTTCCACTGCTTTGACCTCACCTCACTACTGCAAATACAAAAAGAGTGAAACGAATTATGAAAGTGCACGATTCATATTTTATGTGAAGAAAGCCTTTTTTAATTGTTTACTTTCATTCTACTATATACAATAAAATACACAGGAGTCACATGGTATGACAGCTTTGGCGGAGAAGGGCATTTGGGGACGGTTAAGTACATTATTAAAAGAAAATATCATCTTCCCATGCTGCTTTCTCCTCACTTCTCTTCAAGCTGACGCTGCAATTGACAGTTTCACCCCTTCCACAGTGAGCCATGTAGCAGCTCCAACACTTTCCAAGTACCAGCTCTGACCAAGATTAACAGCCAAATGAAGCAAACTGAACACCGGCTAATTAAAAAGAAAACCTGAATTCCAGGCAAATTTAGGGATTGCAAGTTCTCTTCCACTTCCCTTACCACCCACCAAAGTATTTTTTTTTCCTTTGTAGCAGTTTCAGAGAATCTCTCTGCATATAACAAAGAACATTTTCCTTATTTCAGCACTGAATGCATCCCTAACAGCCAAATTCAACACACTACAGGTAGATTGATTTTCTGTGTTTTGCTGCTTATGTTTTTCCATGCACAAACCTGCACAATAGTCTCTCTGTCTCAAATGCTGAGTCCTTTAAGCACTGTCCAGATGAGCAAAATATTAGTCTGAGCATGAGCACAAATGTCTAAAACGCCAATACACAGGGAAAAAAAAGAGGTTAGTCTATGTTCATTGGTTTATCTTAGAGCCAAAAGAGAAGGCTGGCTAGAAAGCCTCAGTAGCTTTAACGTAAACTAACAAGGGTTCATGTGATCTAAGTACGGTTCTATTTTCTTATTACTAAAAAATGTGCTATTGAGACATAACTATGCAAATTAAACACATACTAAAAATAGAATAACAATCAACCTTACAGACTAGCAATGCATTTTGGGAAGAGGAGTAAGTGCTTTATGCAACTCAGCTTATCACCAACTTTTAATTTATGCTATAAGGAAAACACATCATCTCAATCCTGATCAAAACACTAGGGAAACAGACATGTCTACCATCCTGTTCTCTTGTGAAGGGAAAGCAACAAAGACATTAAAACCTCCAACCAAAGAAAATGCAAGCACGCTTGCCAAACGGGAATTCACAGATACTCTAGAAACCACAGGATGTGCAAAGATTTAGTCGCATCGTTGACTGATCTTTCCAAAGCTTGTCCAGTGAACCATTTCAGATCCAAGAACTCACCTACATCCCATCACTCAAGCCCAAAAGCTGTCTACTTCAAATGCTCCTATTTGGGCAATCTTTTAATCCTATAAAGCAACTGAAATATGTGTCAGTATGGTGATATATATTGTACTCTCCTGTTAAGCTAAAAACTGCTCCACTGATTTAAGTCAGAATGTAGCTCCACAGAAGCCCAAGCCAACCTGTGCCAGGGCTGCCAGGGTTCTGCTCTTTCACCTGCTCCCTAAACATGGCAGAAGAATGAAAGGGAGAAGGCAGAAAACTGTGGCAGGCCCCATAGACACATCCTCTTAGCCTGCCATGGCAGGGCACTCTGGACTGTTCCACAATCTTTTTAAAGCCCCCAAAAGTAGAAGTTTGTGAATCATTACTTCTTTCTCAATCAGATTTGAAAGGAATCAGTTTTGTAAGGAATGTTTGACGATGGCAGAAAGAAAAAAAAACTGTTTATGTCTGCAGCTCTTCAAAAGATCCAGATACTTCCACATTTTCTTTCTACAGGAATTTCAAAAGCAGCAGTGCTGGCTTGCACACTCTTCTCTTCCTGCATCCCAGTTACTAAGCCAGCCCATTTGCCTGTGAAGCTGGATAGTAAATCAGAGCGGCAAGTGAGACATCTGAAAGCCAAAGTTTCCGACCCCACCTTGGGTTATTTTTCCAGCCACATCTATTCAATGATTTAGTTCACCATACTGACAAAGCAACAGCTGTGCTGGTAAAATACAGGGCCAGTACGGGGAGGAGGAAGACAGCAGGTACATTGCCTTGTAAGGCAAGAGCTCCTTTAATATACCATTATAGCCAAACAAGCAGTTGTAGCCTAAGACTATAGCTGTAGGACCTTTTCTCTCCTCCTTGCTTCAAGACCCACGCAAATATATCCAATGTGAGGCTATAACGTGGTGTTGAAGCACAGGGAGCAACTCACCTGTAAAATTCTGAAGTTTTTTGAGATCTAGCTGCTGTACTTCAGCCTTACTGTAGGGGGAGGCAGACAGCTTTAATAATAGGGTTGTGATGGCTTTATGAAGGGAAGTAACACTTAATCAACCTGACAGACTTCTGTGATGAGATGACTAGCTCAGTGGAAGGGCGGAGAGCAGCCAATGTTGTTTATCTGGGCTTTAACAAGGTTTTTAACACCATCTTTTTAACACCATCTCCCATAACATCCTCACAGGCAAACTGATACAGTCCAGGCTAGGAAAGGGGACAGGGAGGTGGACTGAAAACTGGCCCAACTGCCGGGCTCACATGGTTGCAACTGGTAGTACAAAGTCCACCTGGAGGCCAGTCACTAATGATCAACCCCAGGGCTTGGCACTGGGGTCAGTGCTTGGAGATACCAAAGACCCAGCTGGACAAGGATCTAAGCAATCTGTTCCAGATCACTCTGCTCTGAGTACTGGGGCTGAACCAAATAATTTCCAGAGGTCCTCTCCAACCTCAACCATCCTATGATTCTGTTGTTTACAAAGATGGATAGGAGTTCTGCAAAACACGCCAATTCCAATTCACAGGCGAAAAAAAGTGAAACACAAAAATAGCTTCCTTCCTCCCTTCTGCCCCCTCCTTCCCCAACAAAAAAAAAAAAAAAAAAGACTGAGCCAGAACAGGAGTAAACAACCTTGGTTTATCTGAGTGGGTTTCTTGCTTGGAAGCTCCTGACAGGCACTAGTATTAGAGCTAGGCATACGGGATTTCCCAGCTTTTGTTATAAATCAGGAAGCCCCAGAAGCACCTGCTCTAGCTGCAGACTATGTTCTACCTGCGCTATCTCCCTGAGTCCCCACAGCCCAAGGCTATAACAGGTTTTGCTGCTCTATAGGCATACCCATACGGAAAGAAAATCACAAAATCAGAGGTGGGAGCACACTTACCAAAAGCACATCTCTGAAACAAATGCAATTTTTCAGCTGCAAGAATATCAAGTCCTTGTTTCATGGCATTGTGGCACTAGTACATTGCAAAGAAAAGGGCTGACAGTCTGAAGAAGACATCTGGGTCAGGAAGTTATTGGGCAAATAAATCTTTGGAAGATGCTCAGGATTAATTACAAAAATCCTCCCAGTTGCACCAAATCACACCTAATCCTGCTCACACTCTGGCTTAGCTCATAATGAAGAAGTTCTCTATCATGTGGACTCAACATTGGGAATATAACATTCCTTCCTCAACCCCTCACGTCATCTCAAGAGGAGGAATGCAAGGTGAAAGCTTTGGTATAGAACAACTGCTATAATGTGATAAATTCCCTCAGAACTCCAGTCTTTCAGCACTCATGCCTGTCATAGCAATTACCATTTTATGGGTGAAGCTGCCAATAAGTAACAAGTCTCATATTAGTTCATTTGCTCCTGTCGCTATTAACAAATGATGAATGACATTTCATCCATGTGTTGTAAGACACTGGCAAGAAATCTCTTTATCATACACAGCACAGCCTCCCCATCTGCTGTCTGCAAAACCCTGACTAGTCAGTCACAAGTATTACTTCTCCGTCCAACAGGTGAAGTACAGAAGACAGTTCAAATATCACCAAATAATGGCTGTAGTTTTTCACAACAGTAAAAGGTAGTAGAAAAATTAGAAGCCCTTCTCCGGTGTACTTCAAGCTGTAAAAAATTCCCTTTCTTGTTTATCATACTACACTTGAAAAATCCCTTCAGTTTTCCACCCACACATTAAATGTCTGTGATAGACAAGGAAGAGTTCTATGTGCAGCATCTTCTCCTGCAACTTCATAAAGTCTGGAATTGAGCAGAACCTTCTGCCTTAATTTCAAGGGTTTAATTCTATTAAGCAATTTTTAATTTCCCAAACCAGACACTGTTGACTTTCAAATGGAAAATATTTACTTTTTGCCTCTGATAAACTTATTGTGTATAATTGACATTAATTAGATAAGTCATGGTGCAGGGCAAAGATTACAAACTATTGATAGTACACAAGGAATTACTTCTGCATGAAATAGCAGTGAAAAATTCCTTACGTTGCTTCATTGTCTACCTGCTTTGCACATTTACAGCACTTTCTAAACAGCAACTGTATAGAAATGTATACACATCTCACCAAATGAAACATAAATTAATTTGGAAATAAGACAGAAAGTATGACAATAAATCAGATACCCACCTTGTCAGCCAATGTCCAAAGTCTGGCCGATGAGCCCACTGCACACCTGTCTGATTCAAGGATCGAAGTAGCCGGCAGCAAATAAGGATGATCCATGGACTCGCTAAGCTTATCCACTTATCTGATGCTTTTATGAATTCAGCTGAAGAGATGGCCTTGTCCAATTTTGAACTACCTGCTGGTGGAATGTCTATATTCTTGCACTCAGAGGCTTCCCTGATACTATCAAAATTTTGTTTCACAGTGGTGCTATGTTGAGGGTCACATTCTTTCAGAAGAAAATTATTTCTACAAAGTTCCTGACACAGCACCAAACAAAGCGTATTGGTAAGAAAATACCAGGTTTGATGTTCCTCTTCTATAAAACTGCTTGCCCCCAAACTCAAAACATGGCCAATTGTTCCAGCCAGCATCAGCACATCTATTTCTGACCAGCTGGAACTGGACACAACTGGATTCTGCAAATAAAAAAAACATACAGCAGTGGTGAAAGTGTATAAAAATTTCACTTGGTTAAGCATTCATAATGTGCTTACTGCAATTTCCTCTAAGAAAACAAAATAAACAGTGAGACAAGTTACTTCCACCTTGACAAATGCCAAAAATTTATAAAAGAACCATTTTAGTGTAGCCTATTTAGCTAGCATTGCAACATAATCATACCGTTTAAAATTACATTCTGTTTAAGCAAAAGAACTTCTCTATGAATAAACACCACAACTGACAGATTAAAATCCCTACCACTCGGTGACAGAACATTTGAAATAAGCTGTCTCCCCATTGCACATTTGTAGAAGTAAAAATAGAAATCCTGCAGAAATCAAACTTGAGATACAGATAATAGGTAATTTTCTTATAGTTTGAATTTGTGCTACCCTCAACTCAGTACAGTGACAGCCTTCACTGCTCAAGAAAAGTTACTTGCAGACAGTTTGATGGCACCCCTTAACCTTGCTTACCTTGAAATGTGTATTTCATCATAAAATCTACTTTAAACCTTACCCATATATTATTTACTTCACATGCTATGCCTATCTATAACCGTAATACTCTTTGTCTAATGCCTCCATTAGTTCGATTTCCTGTTCACAGCAGCTACTTGGAATTGCCTATCATCACTGCCCTCAATGATATGGCTAAAAAGACAGTATAAGGGCATGTGGAAGGTTAGAGGTTAGAGCATCTGATTCATTGACATTATCAGGTAATGGACCTTTTCAGCTCACAGGGAATACGAAGTAACAGGGAAAGCCATAAAAAGACCACACAGAGACACAAACCTGATAAGTAAGCACTAAGGGGGATCATAAAGATGACCAAAACTCTTCAGCCATTAACTGACAGGCCATTAAGAAACCACAGGCACAGCTCTGAAGAACATCAGCCTGGACTTTGTAACAGATAAGGGGGAAGTGACAGAACATGAGTATTATGGATGTCTGAGGGCGCCTGTGGATCTATGCAAACTCATTAAGCAATGCTTCAGGAAAGTGTCAAAGGTTGGGGAGAAGGGGTGGTGAGGAACAGGCTGGAGGCAGGGGCAAAGTGGAAGGGGCAAAGGAGGAAGGATAAGGGGCCGGAGTCACATGTAAGCAGGTGCCAGTCAGCACATTTCTCTGACAGCCCTGTGCCTGATCACTGTGGTTTATCCTGTCTTATTAAATCCTCTAACTATCTTTCTGCGCAACTCCACTCTCTGTCCCACCTGTGGGTGCTGCAAGGTCTCACTGAAAGTAACTGGGGACAAGCCTGCATGCCTGCAACTTGAGACCAGAGCAAGTAAAAGCAAACACCAGCCACTCGAGCAGGAATACAGGTCATTGGACCCACACGCCTGAAGTGCCAGTGACTGCAGCACGTGAGGTCCACATGCCAGACACCGGAGTGAGGACCACAGGCCATCGGGACTGTGTGCCTGAGGTGCCAGCAGCTGAAGGGATCAGAGTGCAAGAGAGGTCAGGCTGTCAGCAACAGGAAAAGCGACTACGGATCACCAAGCTTGTAGGTCTGCGTCAGAAACTGGAGGGCCCAGACCCCACACCCATGTGTGAGAGGTCACAAGGCCACTGACTGGAGGGACTTCTGTCTGCTTAACTTCTCCTCAAAGTCTGAGCCAGAGGTGGGGATAAGAGCCCAGGCTGGGCATGCACAGATGGGCACCAGCAGCAAGGCAGTACAAATGCCCCAACCCTGGAGGCCGCCGGAGCCAGCAGGCGCTTCCTAACATACCTTAACAAAAGGGGTTGCATACTTGTGAAGCATTTTGGGAAAGACACTGTCAAAAAACATCCTTTACTATTTTATTTTTTCATTCATTTTTCCTCTATTAGAGAATATCAAAGAGTATCTCTTAAACTGCTATTTTAAACACCTGAAAAACAACAATTTAAAAGCCAAATCAAAACTACTGCGTGCCATTTTTACTTTAGAACAAAGATCTCTGAACCTACTTTCACGTTGATTTCTTTAACTGCACACTTCAACCACACCATCCTCCTACATTTGACCTTATGAATACACTTTAAAAAGCCATCCTGAATATTCATACAGATAAATCTCACAGAGTACATACTCACATTCAAAGATGCACAGTGTACTATGATTCCAGAACTGCTGAAATCATTTGTTAGAAGAATATAGAAACTCACTAATCTTAGAGCAGGTAACAAGAAAGTGGGTTTAAACAATACAAATATCCTGAGCATCTTAGATGCAAGTCCAACTTATGCTTAAGATTTACTGACTGCAGCATATGTATTTTTGTTCAATAACCAAGACCATGTAGCATGGAGAGGACAACAAATACACCTGAGGCAATAAGCTAGTTAATACTATCTGCAATTTTGCTTTGAGGAAAACGACTTTTGCAAAATCAAGATTTTTTAAGATATATGTGAAAGAATGAAGAAGGTACAGTTAAAGTTAACAACTATTCACATCACCTCCATTTCTTGTGTTGTTAAAGAAATATATCACACAAAAGTCACTTCACTTGAAAAAAACACACAAACAAAAACAAAACCAACAAAAAAATCCCCATGAGGTTACACACAACAATAATGAGGGAAAAAAACACTAAAAATTTAGCACAAGAACAGTCATAATCTGAAAAACTGCCCAGGCCCAATCTAAATTTACTAGTATTTGGAATTTCTTTGGTGCCCGAAAGACCAGCCCTTTTTGCTTAGTATTCTACTCTGGAAATCAAATACCATAAGCTACATTCTGGAACAAGATAAGACATTCAGCACAAGGTAGAGATGTAGTCCGTGCAGAGACCAAAGGCCATGAAATTCACAAAGCTGAGACAAGAACAGTACATGACTAAACTACAGAAAGTTTAAACTCCAATTCCATCATGCTGACCTTAATGACCTTGGCTAACTAACTAATGAGCAAGCATGTAAGCAGTGTCTGCTCGCAGAGACAAAGCAATCTGAGATCCTCAGCAAATGAGAATGAACCAGTCTTCAATACAATTCGTCTTCTTTATAAGACACAACATAAAATCTATATAAGGATTGCTCTCTTCTATCTGGTTGCCATCAGCACTGATATGAAAACTGAAGAAGCAATGAATTATCAATGGGGAACATGCAAAAAGCCTCATGAAAATGATGGCATTAGTGTGAAATGTCCCAGTGTCAGAAATCCATATATTTCTTGCCTGCTTGTCTAACCCTCACAACGCCAGTGAAAAGAGAAAAAAATTACTCCTATACTCACATAAAAGGGTTAAATTCCAATGGCATTTATTGATAAACCACATTTCAGGCCAGACTTAGTCACTACGCAGAATGAAAAATTATCCTGCAAATTATAATCTCCTGAGCCTTCATGATCTAAAAAATACTGAAAACAGCTTCATCAAGTTTTTCTAGATTTACTGGTAATCCCTCATATATGAACTGCGCCTTCATTACAGTTTTTTCTACATCTAAGGTCAGGATCTTAGATTACTTAGATTGTACTTAGTTTTTAGATCTGGTTTACAGGCACAGAAATGTAGATCCTACTCTGATATTCACAGCTCCATCTTTCTAGCTGCTGAACACCTCCAACCCTGAAGAACTCAGTAGGCACTCCAGATACTAAAGACTCGTATGATTCGCACCAATATCCTGGCAAACAAACTTAATACAGAATCTTTGGTTTAGAAATTTCTAAATGCCAGGCTTTCAATTTAAGCCTATAATCTGCCAAGCCAAGGTCACTTTAACATTTGATATATCAGCATTAGTAATTAAGTAATACAGAGACTGACCTCTCTGCCCTATCTTTGAATGTATCTTGCTAACTTGCACAAGTGCCAGTACATAAACAACGGAATATATGCAACTCTGCCCATGAAACTTATTTTCTTCACTTTGAAATAAAGCCTCCTGCAGTCTATCTTCTGGGTCCAGTTCCAGTTATGTGGCTTCTGTATGGTTGAGAGTAAAGCTCTTCTGCACAGAAATCAACCATCCATAGTTAATGCCTGAGGTCTTTTACAATCACTTTTCAGATGAGAAACATTTTATTTTTCATGCTCACCATAACCCAAAATTTAAATACTCATCATTCTGTTCCCTTCTGATGTTTGATCTCCCTGCACGCAGTCTTGATTCCCAATGATAACTTTCCTATGACAGAGTACTACTGACCACACTTGCTCCCACATTTTCACAGCAGTTTGGCACTATTTTGTAAAGCTACCCAGTATAAGGACCATCCAATCACCTTTTTTTTGCCCAAGGCAAAAAATGCAAAAAAAATTTTTAGGTACAATTGCATAAAAGTGTTTTATCATTCAATTCCATAAAGAATATCACACAGAGGAGGAAAACCAAAAATATTTTAAAATGAACAGTGTATTTTAAAAAAAACAGAAAGAGGGACATTTTGTGTAATTAAAAAAACATGATAATTCTCCACAATGAAAATTCTCAAAAGCTGTATTTGACAGGCTTTAACTTTTGTGTTCTATTTTCAAAAAAATTATTGGTTTTGATTTCTGTCGGAAATAGGAAAAAAAAATACAACTAGTAGTAGTAAATACTGTACTTAAGTCAACTACCAAGCAATTAGAGTGAAGCTATGAACAAGAAGCTAAAATTTTGGTAATTTTCTGGAATTTGTAAAGGGCTGCAGAACTATTTAAAGCCTGAAGTGTCATTAAAAGAAGGGACTGATGCTGCTAGAAACATAGTAATCAGAACCTATAAATAACAGTCAGGAAGCAGATGCTAACACTGCCTGCACTGGTCTTCAGAAAATTCATGAACTTGGTAATCAGTTTCTATATTCAGCCACAGTGAAAAAAGCATTACAAATGAGAAGCACTTCAGAGAAATCTTTAGATGTGAACGGAAACAATTTGAAGAAAAAACGCTCTGAAGCCATTAGCAGGAGAGCTTATCTTAATTACTTTTAAAATACCTACATTTTATTGTACAGCATGAGCTTAGAAAAGGCT